CAACCAACTGGCTTGGATGCCTAAGGCAGGACTAGAACTCACTGCCTCCTGGTGATTGGTCCAATGTCAACCAACTGGCTTTGATGCCTAAGTCGGGACTAGAACTCACCATCTCCTGGTGATTGGCCCAATGTCAGCCAGCCGACTTTGATACCTAAGGCGGGACTACAACTCACCACCTCCTGGTGATTGGCCCAATGTCAACCAACTGGCTTTCATGCCTAAGGAGGGACTAGAACTCACCATCTCCTAGTGATTGGCTCAATGTCAACCAGCCAGTTTGCATGACTTTAGGCAGGACTAGAACTCACCATCTCCCAATTTCTAGCCCGATGCCTTAACTGCTACACCAACTGGCTCTTGTGTTTTGCAATCCCAGTGCAAAACGTTACCCTGGAAAACCACTAGCTACGGCAGGTGACTTGCATGCCTCCTGTCTACCGCCCCCGCCCACGCTGAGTCCAAAATCTCTAAAAATGGACAATTTCAAGTATCTTGAGATGCAAGGTTGGACTAACACCTCATGCACATGGAATTAGCTCCAGGCATTCCTCGTACAGTTAAATGACCTCTCTGGGCGGTCTTAGGATCCCACTAGCCAGGGTGGTGACATCACTTGGGAGTTCTTGAAAATTTCCCACCCTGTAATTTCTCTGGTGTAAAAGTTGCACCAGGTTTCTTGAAAGCCCTTGTGGGGCAGCCATCGGCAGCGCTGATAATTTTCAAAAAGCAGCCTGCATTTCAGTACCAAAAATGTGTTGTTGTTTTTTCTCTCTCCCTCTTGCCGTGCCTATTTTTCTTCAGGATAACTTTCCAAAACTATTTCCTTCATTTTTGATTTGAAACTTACGGGCCTTTTTTTCTAGTTTCTTGAAACTAGAAAGTTTACTTCACTTTGGAAAGGAGAAAAATAAATAGTCTTGTTTTTCTCTGTTCTCCCGTTTCTCCTGTTCGCTTTTTCAGACTTTTTTCTTTCTTTCTTTCCTGTCTTTGTGGAGAGTGATGAGTTTTGAGGGAGCCAAAAATCCCTCAAAGTTTATGTTCCATCCAAAATAGTTTGTACAGAAATCCCTTTTCCTGAATCCAGTGTTCTTATTTCCTAGAAAACACTAATATTGGGGAGGGAGATATTTTACAGGCTCACATGATGTGACATTCCAATTTGTTTACAAGTAGCTTGTTGAATGAGCTACTGCTGGTCGGGTTCTCACAATGCACCACCAGGCCATAAGGTGGGCCTGCAAACTACGATGGCTGTGTTCACACAGTTTGCCAAGTTATTATAGGACAGGTAGTCCTCTACTTATGACCACAAGGGAATCCCAAATTTCCATTGCCAAGCAAGCCAGTTAAGTGAATTTTCTCCTGTTTTGCAGCCTTTCTTGCCAAAAATTATTCACAGGTTTATTAAGTGAATCTGGTTTCCCCATGGATTTTGCTGGTTGAAAGGTCATCAAAAGTGATCACATGACCCCCAGGACCCAATCATCATAAATAAAGGGATGCTGCAATGGTCATGATGTGAAAAATGGTCATAACTCAGTGGTTTTTTTTTCATTGCTGTTGTAGCATTGGTCACTAAACAAATGATTGTAAGTCAAGGACTATTTGTATAACATCCTCTGTGAACCTGGCTATTCATGGCATAAAATTAGATACTAGCCAAAACGCCATTGTCTATGCCAAGGGTCTTCAAACTTGGCAAGTTTCAGGCTTGTGGACTTCAACTCCCAGAATTCCTGAGCTAACATGACTGGAGGAGGAATTCTGGGAGTTGAAGTCCACAAGTCTTCAAGTTTGAAGACCCCTGGAATAGATAAAGAGAGGTAGAATAGATAGAGAGAAACATAGATAGAATAGAGAGGGAAGGAGAGAGAAAGATAGAATAGATAGATAGATAGATAGATAGATAGATAGATAGATAGATAGATAGATAGATGATAGATAGATAGATAGATAGATAGATAGATAGATAGATAGATAGATAGATAGACAGATAGATAGAATAGATCAAGGGTCTTCAAACTTGGCAAGTTTAAAACTTGTGGACTTCAACTCCCAGAATTCCTGAGCTAACATGACTGGAGGAGGAATTCTGGGAGTTGAAGTCCACAAGTCTTAAAGCTGTCAAGTTTGAAGACCCCTGGTCTACGCATTCCCTCTGTATATATACTGTCCTATTTCTGTAAGTTTCTCATAATTTCCTTATTTCACTGATGGGTGTGGCATGGGGTGGTGTGATGGGGATCGGTGCAGTGGCCTAGAGGTGGAGCTCTCGCCTTATAATCAGGAGGCTGTGAGTTTGATCCTGGGTAGAGGCAGATAAGTTCTCTCTCTCTGGGCATGATGAGAATATATCTGCTGAATATAACTCCGCAATGGCGATAGGAAGGGCATCCGGCCATTAAAAAACTCTGCTATCTCAGTTCAGTTGCAAGGGATTATGGAGTCATTAAAAAAAAGGTGGCTGGTGGTTACATAGCATGAAAGTTCAGTAACATAATGCAGTTTATTGCATTTTTTTGTATCCTTAAAATGCAATCACAATGTGCAGCCAGGCATCTGCCCATCGGCTGAAACACCTTGACCCAGACAGGTGAACAGTATTGGGAAAAATATTGATTTAATGGCAGTGTTTCTGTTTTGCAACAGCTCAGGTGGTCATTGATTTAACGATAGCAATTGGGACTAGAATTTCCAAGGGAGTTTATTAAGTGATTTGTGCCTGATTATTTTACGACCTTGTTCGCTGGGGTTGTTAACCGAATCCCTGCAGTTGTTAAGTGAATCACTGTGGTCACTAAACGAACCCACCTTCCCGACTTTGCTTGTGGGAAAATGGGAACGGAAAGGGTGATCAAACAGCCCCAGGATTCAGCCGGGTTTGTCCAGAGTATATTCATGAACTGGAATAGAGCATGGTAACGAGGTCAGCCAATGAATAGGCACAGCAACTAAGTCAGCCAATGAGGACTGTTTGGAAACTGAAACTAGAAATAGGTTCTGCAGCTCTGTTAAGCTCTGAGTCTGTCTATTGAAAATGAAACTGCTTCTCTCCTCTGCTGTGTGTATTGCTTGCCTGCTGAACTAAAGTGAAACTGATGTCTGTTTTTGAGTTGCTGTTCTGCTGTGAACCTGTCACATGTCTGCTTCTGTTTGAGTTTGCTCCCTGTTGGAGAAATCTACAACTGGTATAGTAAAACTTATTTAATGTGTTTATAAAGAAGTTAAAGGAAGCCTGACTTTTTTGGCACTGAATTAATGCTGCAAAACTAGGAACAGGGGCCAAGGATCCAAATTCTGATTGGCTACTCGTGTGATGGTCATAAGTGTGAAGACCAGACATAAATCGCTTTTCCAACGCTGTTGTGACTTCAATTGGTGGTTGAATGAATGGGTGTAAGTCGAGGACTACTTGAAGCCTTAGGGATGCTAGAGGAGGGAGATGAGGAAGCAGGTAACGCAAACACTTTTTGCTTGGGATCTGCAGAGGGGCAAATCCAGAGGAGAGAAAAAGAAAGTGACTCGATCTAAGGCAGCTCCTTGCGATCCCTGAGACCCTGCAGTGTGTTCACGTGAAAATAAAGGTACTCGAGTTACAACCACAACCGAGCCCAAAATTTTGCTAAGCGAAACGTTTTGAGTTTTGCCCCTTTTACGACATTTCTTGCCACCGTTGTTAAGTGAATCATTTAGTAACACAGTTGTTAAGTGAATCTGGCTTCCCCAATGATTTTGCTTGTCAGAAGGTCGCAAAAGGGGATCACGTGACCCCCCCCCCCCGAGATGCTGCGACCGTCATAAATACGAACCAATGGCCAAGGATCTGGATTTTGGTCGTGTGGCCACAGGGATGCTGCAACCGTCATAAGTGTGGAAAATGGTCACAAGTCCCTTTTTTCAATGCTTCGGTAACTTTGAATGGTCACTAAATGAACTGTTCTAAGTCGAGGACTACCTGTATGTGGAGAATGGATCAAGAACCGTCTTCTTTAGGCTGGCCAGAAAGGAGGTTATGTGGCCTTATTCTAGAATGCCATATATTCTGTGTAGAGAAAGAGTAAAAGAGAAAGAAGAGAGGAAGAGAGAGAAAAAGAGGGAGGAAGAGAGAGAAAGAGAAAAGGAGGGAGAGAGAGAAAGAGGAGGAAGAGAGAAAGAAAAAGAGGGAGAAAGTGAGTAAAAGAGGAAGAAGAGAGGAAGAGAGAAAAGGAGGAAGAGGGAGAAAGGGAGAAAAAGGAGGAAGAAAGAAAAAGGAAGAAGAGAGGAAGGAAGAAAAAGAGGAAGGAAGAGAGAGAGGAAAGAAGGAGGGAGAGAGACAGGGAGAGGAAAGAGAGAAAGA